TGTTATTGGGCCATTCTAAATTTCAAGAAATGTCAAACAAACAAAGTAATGGCCAGTGGATGAACAATTTGTTTATTGATACCCATAAGTCAGAAGCTAGAAATACACAGTAGACTTCAGAGCAGTGATGAGTTTGAGTTGAACTGAGGCATGAATTGGCATATCTGTTTGCTTTATCATGTTTCATTTCATAGATTCACCTTTGGCTGCAGAAGTTTTAAGTTAAGAAAGATGAGGCTCTTCTTGACAGCCAGATTGCACAGAATCATAGAATGGTTGGGGTTGAAAGGGACCTTTAAAGGTCATCTAGTGCACCCCCCCTACCATGGGCAGGGACACCTTTCACTAGATCAGGTTGCTCAAAGCCCTGTCCAACCTGGCCTTGAACATTTCCAATGATGGGGCACAACTTCTCTGGGGAACCTATTCCAGTGCCTCACCACCCTCATCATAAAAAATTTCTTTGTGTCCAATCTACTCTCTTTAATTTTAAAACCATTGCCCCTTGTCCTGTCACTACAGGCCTTATTGAAAAGCCTTTCTTCGGCTTTCTTATGAGCCCCCTTTATATATTGAAAAACCACAAGAAGGTCTCGAGGAGCCTTCTCTTCTTCAGGCTGAAGTCTCTCAGTCTTTCTTCATAGGACAAGTGTTCCAGCCCTCGGATTGTTGTCATGGCCTTCCTCTGGACCCACTCCAACAGGTCCAGGCCCCCGAGCTGAACGCAGTACTCCAGGTGGGGTCACACCAGAGTGGAGTAGAGGGGGAGAATCACCTCCCTCGACCTGCTGGTCACACTTCTTTTTATGGAGCCCAGGATACAGTTGGTTTTCTGGGCTGCAAGCGCACATTGTCAGGTCATGTTCAATTATTCATCCCCCAGTATCCCCAAGTCCTTGTCTGCATTGTTGTTCTCAATCCCTTCATCCTCCAGTCAGTACTGATAGTGGGGATTGCCCCAACCCGGGTGCAGGACCTTGCACTTGGCCTTGCTGAACTTCATGAGGTTCTTATAGGCCCACCTCTCAAGCCTGTCAAGGTCCCTCTGGATGGCATTCCTTCCCTCAAGCGCCTCACCTGCACCACTCAGCTTGGTGTCATCTGCAAGCTTGCTGAGGATGCACTCAATCCCACTGTCTATATCAATGTTGAAGATATTAAATAGTATTGGCCCCAGTATGGACCCTTGAGGGTCACCACTTGTTGCTGGTTTCCATTTGGACATTGAGCCATTGACTGTAACTCTTTGGATGCAGCCTTTACCTGCCCTAAGTAATTTTGTTCAAAATCCAGATGCCTATTTCAGGCCCAATCCCATCTTAAAATCAGGTCTCAGATAGATCAGGTGACTCAATTTCTGGAGAGATTTATTTCTTTCCATAGGAGAAACTAGAGTGACAAAGACTCAACTCAGCTGACTTCCACAGGCATAAAAGAACTGACTTCCTCCCTCGGTTTCCTCATTTGTAAAAGAAGAATTTTCTTAACTTACTCTGTAATTCGCTGACCTTTGCTAAAACATGAAAGTTCTTGCAAGAAGGTTTATTCACTAGGTTGCCAGTGATGAAATTTAATGCGAAATAGGAGTTGAAGGGTCATCAAGAGGTAACTCAGGCCATCTTCCTTCTCTGTGGAAACTTAATTATGACCACTACTGAGAGAAGTGTGCCTAACCTGCCCTTAAAAAGACTACTGTGACAGGTAACTCTTTACCACCCCCAGAGCATGGTGCCTCTCTCCTTACTACAAGAAATCTCTCTAACTTTTTTCTTTAAAGAAGATTTGGGTTTCATGTGTTTTCTTTTTAGCATACACAAAGATTTAAAAATACTGTTTTATTCTTTACAATGCTATAAAGCCAAAGCAGTGGATCTAATGGACCTCTATACTTGGGAAAACCATAAAGCATGGCTTAACAAAGGACTCTGGAAAGGGTTAACATCACATGCTTGTCCAGTTTAATATTCAGCTAATCCATTGGCTGTTATTTCTACTGGAGAAATCCTGAAATGCCTTTGTAATATCATTATCACTGACTGATGGCTATTTCTTTAAAATACGTTTGCTTAAACTTTTCAGCCAGGACAGAATTAATTTCTCCTCCTTTGCCCCTTCCTTTTATGCCTTCCCTTCACTAAGGCTCCGCGCCTCCCTCCTCCAGCCCCAAGAGCCTTTCAGGTGGGAGATTTCCTTGGAGAGGGCTACAGTGTGCTACTTAAGCAGTTTTCTTCTCAGCCTTCTGCTGCTGCTGGGTTGTGAATGCATCATTCGGTGCACAAAAGCCAGGCCACACTATCCAGACAGCCCATCAAAGCAGTTCTGATGTAGACAGAAAATACCAAGATATGCTTGTGATGCAGAAAAGCAAGAAATTAAATTAGATAGTATTATACAGTAAAAGGCACCTCCTAAGCAAGTGTTGGAAGCTTTCCAGAAGCTATTCTTCGTTCTTTAAAGAGTCTATGCTCTCAAACATTCCTACCAGGGAAGGCAGATAAAATCATACAGCCCTTGCACAAAAAATTAGATCTACAAACACAAAGGAGGTAAGTTTTCCAGGGTCTCTGGATTCTTTTTTTTTTTTTTTTTTGTTTTTGTTTCCTTTCTTCTTTCCTTTACCTGATTTCCTTTGCTCTTTTGTTTCCCTTCTTGAACGAATGTAAAAATACAATAAGAATTTTTCCCTAAAGTTATCAACTGTCTATGGCTATCTTTGGCTGGAACCATGCATAGCACTAGTTCTGTAGTCCCACATCAGGTTTTTTTGTTCTTTCGTTTCCCATTAACCACCTGAGATTTTAGGGAAGAATGCTTGCAATAAGGAGATGGTGCAATTTCTCATCCTTTTTTAAATGTTAGCAGTCCACATTGAATTTATTTTATTTTGCAATCAATTGCATTCTATCATATACCTCTAGTCTCTCCCTGAAAAGATACTTTAAGATATAAGACATAACTTGTGGGAATCTTCTACTGAATTAGTCATTCTACTCATCCTCTCAGAGTCAACAGAAAGAAATAGGTACCTCCAGCATGTAATTCATCACATCTTTAACTAGACAACTAACTTAGGTTATGAACAACAACAACAACAACCAACTTAGGCTGGTAATGAATTGTCCTGCAAAGGCAGAAAAAAGAGTGCATATGACTGGCTCAGATACAGGTGCCTACATGATATAAGTCAATGAGGTGCAATGCGGCAGATGAATATATTGTAAAATGTGATTTGGCGGTGGTGACAGGGGCCCTACCAAGAGGGACACACAGTAAAGCTCTCTGTTGTGAGTGGCTTGTATCTTTACAATCCTTTCAAAAATATATACTTTAACTTAGGAGTTTCCCATCTGCCGTTATTCAGGAATATAGCTTTCCTTGATCATTTATCTCTTGGTCACTCCTTTCTGAACCACTGATTGCCTAAACATGACACTGGGACTGGTGGATTTTTCTTCCAGTTCTGCTCTGGCCCAGGTGTTTCTCTTCCACTGGCTACTGCACAGCCATAAATACGTACCCATTTTGTCCTGTTGTTTTCTGTAGAAAGCTAGGTCAGTGCTAAGTGAAAAGAGGAGAGATGGAAAGGATCACAACTTGGTAAGACCAAGTAGAAATCGATATCCAATTGTTCTCATTGATCTTTTTTCTTGGAGATATATCAGAAAAGGAATTATCCATGTATATTTTACCCCCTTTCTTGAATATCTTTTACCTACTTTAGTACAGCTGTAAGCACAGGAAAAGTCCCTAACTTTCCCAACTTCCTCTCTAGGCTTTACTTTGTGGGTTTGAGAGCAATTTTGGTTTTTCTCCATTTCAGTGTTTCCTGTGGGTGCTTGATCCGTTTTTGCCTGCACAAGAGTTTCTGATTTTGCTGTAATTTTAAATAGGTGTTAGATAATTTGACTTGACTGAATCATTCCACAGATTTGCTCAGATCACCTGCACAAACAGGGAGAACTGCTTGTGTTTTGTTGGGCAGGATTTGCAATGGCAGTTTTTAACAGCAGTTGATTGAGGTACTTTAAGGGTACAAAAAGGATTATTCTCTGAAGTTAATGGTGATGTTAATTTACTTAGGCTCCTCCTAGTCAATGAAAAAAAGAAAGGGTTCTGTAAAGGGCCTTAGTTTAGCTGTTCTGCCTATAGAAAGACTTTGACCACCAGCTAGACTGGCTTCACTAAACAGAAATTAACCTCTGAGAATATCCCCCAGAGCGTATCACAAATCAGTATAACGCAAAATTCATATAATGCTGGGACAGAAGTTCTGAAAAGATCCTTTCATTCTTCCTTTCTCTCAAAGGAACATTGCTGAGATTTAGAGCAAGATAAATGGTAGAGCAAGTCATATGTGAAATTGTTTGCTCTTTTCACCATGATAGATAACTTCTCCAGAACTCATTGTTCAGTCCATGAAGCTGCAAATTTATGTTTCAAAATGTATACACAAGAGATTTCTTTTTCTCAGTGGGTTTCATTTCCCCTCTGAACAACAATTCAAAGATCATTTTTATGTATAAAATAAATCAGCATTCCAAGGAATATTTCTAGGTGTTCTTAAAAGCACTGTTTTTACAAATATTGTTTTCAAGGACTTGGTGTGCACAGAGGGCAAACATGCTTTTAAACATCAGTAGCCGCTATAGAACTTGAGGTGAACACCCTGGCCTAGTCCTTAGCACACCAGCCATAGATCCAGCCCTTCAACATCCTGGAGGACCAGGATGGAGGAACACATCAGAAAGTGCACCTGTCTCGGTGCGGTAACAGGCACAGCTGAAGTCTTGTGCAAGGAGAATTAAATACTTAGGGGGGGAAGAAAAAAACCACAACAAAAAACCCACTTCATAAACTTAATAATCCTATATATTTCTTAATTTGTATGCACTTCTGCTAAAGAATTCATTATTAATAATGAAAAAAACTGATGAATCATTTGTCTTTATTTTTCCATGTGCCTAGGCTGTACATTGCATATCACCACCCAACTGATTAACATGGAGAATGCAAGCTGTGTGAAGGAATTCATTCTTCTGGGCCTCTCAGAGAATCAAAGGGTGCAGAAAATATGTTTTGTGATCTTTCTGTTCTTCTATATGATTATTGTGGCAGGAAATCTGCTTATTGTTATCACTGTAATTAGCAGTCAACGTCTGAACTCCCCCATGTATTTCTTCCTCAGATACCTGTCCTTTGTAGATATCTGTTACTCTTCTGTCACAGCTCCCAAAATGATTGCCAACTTCCTTGTTGAAAATAAAACCATCTCCTTTGTGGGTTGCATAGCACAGCTGTTTGGGGTACATTTCTTTGGCTGCACAGAGATCTTCATCCTCACAGTGATGGCCTACGATCGCTACATTGCCATCTGCAGACCTCTCCACTACACCACCCTCATGACCAGGCGAGTGTGTGGTCAGATGGTGATCGCCTCATGGGTAGGAGGCTTCGTGCACTCTGTAGTACAGACTCTTCTAACCACTCAGCTCCCGTTCTGTGGTCCTAACAAAATTGACCACTACTTCTGTGATGTTCACCCTCTACTACAACTGGCCTGTACTGACACCTACGCTGTGGGCGTCATTGTCGTTGCCAACAGTGGAATGATAACTCTGAGCTGTTTCATCATCCTGGTCATGTCCTACGTTGTCATCCTGGTTTCCTTGAAAAGTCAAACATCCGAAGGGCAGCGCAAGGCCCTTTCCACCTGTGGGTCCCACATCACTGTGGTGATTCTGTTCTTTGGGCCATGCACGTTCATCTACATACGTCCGTCCAGCAATCTGTCGGCGGACAAGAGTGTGGCAGTGTTTTACACTGTCATCACACCAATGCTGAACCCACTCATCTACACCCTAAGGAATGAGGAGGTGAAGAGTGCCATGAGAAAACTGTGGAGTAGAACAGTGGGAAGTGAAAATGAAAAGGCGTAGAGCTGTGGTAACATTTCCAAAGGTTGGGAGAAAATCAAGCATCTTTCACTATAATTTCTTTTGTGTAAATTCCTCCAGAACTCCCTTTCAAAGAACGGCTTGCTGTTAGCTCTTGTTGTAATTAGGAAGACACTGAACGTTTATCTTTTGATTTGAAAGACATTCTGAACTCTGTGACAAGCAGGCATTCCCTTTCTATTCTCTTGTCAACTAGCTCAGGCCCAGGCTGGGGGTCCTGAGCACTAACTGAAACACTAGTTTTTAAATAAATACTATCAAAAATACTGAAAATGTTGTTCGGGTAAACATCCCATTACTCAGGTATAAACTTTCAGATGAACTCTATCTGCTCTGTAGTCCCTTCAGCTGGGAAAGAGAGGATTGTGGTCACCTGCTGCTAGAAACAGAGGGCCCTTTCTGCTTGCAGTAAATGCCTTTTTATGAGAACCACATTGTGGTTTCTTGAATCCATGGGTTAGCAATTAAAAGCCTGATATTAAGTGCTAGTTGGGTCATTTGCTGATGCAGGTAACAGAATGGGAAGCTTCTCCCCTTCCCCTCCTGGTGCAACAAATCCTTTCTGCAGTGTCAAAGTCAGGTTGGACGGGGCTTTGAGCCACCTGATCTAGTGAAAGATGTCCCTGCCCGCGGCGGGTGGTGGTGGTGGTGTTGTTGGACTAGATGGTCTTCAAAGTTTCCTTCCAATCCAAAGTCTTCTATAATTCTATCTACTTTACCTGTCACTGATGCCGTCCTTCCAACCATCCCCTCTATCCTTCAGCTCTGCCTCAGGTTTTTTATTTTAATGTTTAGACTAATGCAGAATCATAGATCTAATGACAGACACCTCGCTGACTGTAAAAATCAAAGTAGTCACCAAGGAATGAATTTCATTCATCAAGGGAATTTCAAGCACAATTTCATTCATCAAGGGAAAAAAGGAATTTTTTAGGAACTATCCCAGTATGCAAGACAACTCCTAGCCCAACAGAGCACATCACACACCCACACAAGGGAAGAAGTGTGTTTTCCATGGGAACAGCTGGTACACCTGCTATTGCAGGAGGGAAGAGAAGAAACATGAGGATGAAAGACCAAACCAGTTGAGTGCCAGTCAAAGCTGTCACAGGGTGATAAGCTATAGCAGCTCAGGGTCTCCACAAAAAAAAATGAGACAAGAGACCCTAGCCCTTACCTTGCCAGCAGAAAACCACTAAATCAGCTGAGTGAGGAAAGAAAAGACCTGCTTGGTGCCATCCAAAAGTAACTAAAGCACTTTTATTTCTTCATTTACATTCCCTATAAACACCTGCACCTGTGTTACACCTTAACATGACTTAGGTAGGATTCCAGGTTACAAGGTGTTCCCAGCCCAAGCCAGGGCTTATAACCTTATTTGTATATATACACACACAAAATTATATATATACATATAAAAAATAGATTAATTTTTTAATGCTTTGGGGATGAACACCAAGGTTTTTTCTGAAGGTCTTGCTTCTGGGTGCTGCTGGGCAAATATTCAACCATAGCTTATGGAAGGTGTCATTGAAAACAACATTAGGTCCTCTACACTTCAGTAAGAATTCTTATAAAAACTTAATACTTGGGCTAAAGAGTTGCATTTTTGTTTTGCATTTTCTAAGTAAAAATACCTGGTAAGCAGTGAAAACTAACCACAAACCTTTCTAAATGTCTGAAGTAATTTTCTGGTTTACTTCTTGTTTCAAATTTGTACAGCAGATGTCTAAGGGATCACTGTCTCTAGCACAATTGTGATATTTTTTTTGTGCTGTCAACGTACAATGGTAAGAACAAGTTAAGAAATAAGAACGCATATGAGAAATATTAGCTTAGGGCAGAAAAAAGACTGTGTAAGAGAAATCTTTACTTCAGGAATGTTTGATTGCAAAGGTAAAGGTGAATATAAATCTTGCAAAAGGCCAGGTGTGATGTTTATTTGAACCATTTGATGTTTATTTGAGCCAGAAATGCTCCCAGAAGAAATACATGTGCAATAGTAAGTTGTCTATTTATCTGGACAGCATTAAAAAGTCAGCCAGCAAACAAACAAGTAAGCAAGCAAACCCATGTGCAATGTAACAGTCTAGATGACCACACTCTGACATCACTCTCCGGGGACTACCCTAATAGCAACGCAAAGTACAATTTTTACCTCCTTGTCCACTGATGATTTCTGACGAAACTTTGTATGCCTCTGGGATCTCATTACTCCTGATAGTCTTGTGCTTCAGCTGTGTGATTTACTTTAAATATTTCTGCTACAATTTCCCCATCTTGTGAGAGAGAATTGTTCTCGTAGATGCCTTTGGAAGTTGTTTTTTTGCAGAATGAGAAATGCAGGTAGAGGGGCAGGCTGTTCGTTTCAGCCGCTGTAGGTTTCAGGACTGGCAGAGATATGGACTGCTTTCACAACATGTAAGCAGCAACTTGTAGCTGAGATATTCTGATGAAACCATCTAAAGTGGTCAGAGGGGGTCGTCAGAGAAGCAATAGCAACCAAACTCTTGGAGACTGGCAAATATGAACTGTGTAAGTTTTCTGATATTGTTCCTTTGTTTTGTTCAAGCATGACTGAAACCCTACCTTTGAAAATAGGCATTTCTGGTGAGGGACTCTTGTGAGGTCCCTTTTATGAATTAGAAAAAACTCAGTTACAGATTTTTCAGCCTTTGTTTTAGGCTGAAAGGCGGTGTCTTATTTGCTTTTTTCCCCAGCTATATGCCATTTCACAGATTCACAGATCTTTCCAGAAAGATCTGTCAAAACGATGTTGTCAGCGTTACAGAGAAGACTCAGGAGCTGATGACAGCACTTCCTTTGTACTCAGTTTTACATTGTCTGAGCTGGACGTGTCAGGCAACAATGGTGATGACACACACACTTTGGTCTTCCCCATGGTGCTTTCCTTCTGCTATGGAGGGGCATGGAGATAGGGATGGAGACACTAAGAGCCTTTCCTCTGCTGTCCTAGTTGGTTCCTCTGAGCCCCAGGAGGTGAGGCTGAGAGTTCAGGAGAAAGTGTGAGTGTCCTGTGATTGTCAAATAGCATTCAGACCCCAAAAGGCTTGCTGATGTCACAGACAAGGTTATTACACATTTGCCACCTCTGTCTTCGTGTATAAATTGAACAGTAGAGATACTTGTGTCCTGCAAAGGAATGCTGCAAAGGTGAAGTCATGGGTGTTTGTGAGTAAAGGAGGGTCACCATTCATTACCCCAGTGTCACTACAGGTGTATTTATGAGGTGTTCCACACTAAGTCCAGGACCTAGGTGAGGTATACAAACCCCTGCTAATGCACCATTAATGCAAATTAACTCCAGATTAGTTAATTCATGTGCTGTAAGAAAGGTGGTCCAAGAAAACACTGGCCAGCTCTTTCTGTGACTGAACTTATTCAGGTCTATCACAGTCAGAGAGATAATAAGGAATAAGATAGTAAGTTCTGTTGCATTCCTTTAGAGTACTGAAGAGGAAAGTACAATCACTGCTTGCACAAGGACCTTCCTCAGGACATGATCAAAGTGTTGAGACTTGAATTACTTGAATTACTGTCTCTTTTGGTCAACTTTTATTTCCAAATCAACATTATAGGGTAAGAGTGGGTCTTGAGGGGACCTGGTAATTAGTCTTCTTTTTTAGAAGAGGCAAAGGTGAGAACTAGGGTTCTTGAGAGTATTATTTCTACCACCCTCCTCAAATAAATAATCTGAGCTTGTTATTATATACATCAGTAATACATTCTGATTCGGATATCACCTGTTATTCCTTGAGGGAAGCCTTGACTTTAAATCGAAACTGTCCCAAAAAGAAAGCAAAGGAAGTATGCTTAATATTTAACATACCAATGGTCAGTATGCATGTGTATTGATAATGTCCCATGTCTAATGCCACAGCTGCTGTCTCTTTTCTGTGCTTCAGGTCCTCTCTACATGGTGTCTATGGAGAACAAAAACAATGTGACGGAGTTCATCCTCCATGGACTGACACAAGATAAGACAGTATCAAAAGTGTTCTTCTCATTATTATTAGTCTTCTATGCCTCTATCATTCTTGGAAACCTGCTTATCATCATTACTATAAATACAAGTGAACAGCTGAACTCTCCCATGTACTTTTTCCTGAGATACTTGTCTTTCGTAGACATCAGTTACTCTACTGTCACAGCTCCCAAACTCATTTATGACCTTCTTGTTGAGAAGAAGACCATCTCTTTTGTGGGCTGCATAGCTCAACTGTTTGTGGGCCATTTCTTTGGGTGCACTGAGATCTTCCTTCTCACAGTGATGGCTTATGATCGTTGCATCGCTATATGCAAGCCGCTTCATTACACAAATATTGTGAACAAGCATGTCTGTGGCTGGCTGGTGGCAGCTTCTTGGGTGGGAGGCTTTGTGCACTCAGTGGTGCAGACCTTGCTGGTCATTCAGCTACCATTTTGTGGACCCAATGAGATTGACCACTATTTCTGTGATGTTCACCCTTTACTGAAGCTGGCCTGCGCTGACACCTACATCATTGGTGTCATTGTGGCTGCCAATAGTGGTGTGATTTCCCTGAGCTGTTTTGTTGTTCTTGTTGTGTCCTATGCTGTTATCTTGGTTTCTTTGAGGACACGCTCTTCCGAAGGGCGCCTCAAAGCACTCTATACATGTACTTCACACATCACTGTTGTAGTTCTATTCTTTGGGCCATGCATTTTCATCTATATGCGTCCTTCCACCACCTTCTCAGCAGACAAGATGGTCTCTGTGTTCTACACCATCATCACGCCTATGCTCAATCCCTTGATCTACACTCTCCGAAATGAAGATGTGAAAAATGCCATGAAAAAGTTGTGGAGGAGAAAAGTGAAGAGGAGTGAGAAATGAAATAACACAGTGCATGTTTGTAAGATGATGTGAGCTTCAGAAACCATGAGGAGGGAAAAGAGAGACTTTCCAGTAATGTTGCTCTGTTTTTAAGCACAGGTGTTCAGAATAGGGCTGACACTAAATTCAAGGTTTTATGTAACTCATCTTCTTTGGAAACTGTCAGTCAAAGGGATGTCAGGTTATTGTCAGCTACCAGACCTGAGCATTGGGGGTGGTATTGTGGCATTTACCTTCAGGCACCTCATAGCTGTAGCTTGGGTATTTGTCTAGGCTTCTCCCGGCATTAGGAGAAACAACCAAGTATTTTGAGTATTTGTTCTTTCTTACTAGCTCCTAAAAGCTTTGGTGAGTAGCACCTCCTTACATTTCTGCACAAAGGACTGATGGTGGTACCCAGCTCCCAAGAGTAAACAAACCTTTCAGTAGGGCACAGCATTGGCAGCTTTCATCTAACATATTTTGATGTGCCAACATGAGGTGTCTACAACTGAGCAAGCCGCTGAGGAAAGTCAGCAGGCTTTGGCTGGCTGGCTGGGACTCATTTCATGGTAAAATAGGACCATGAGAGACGTAGGAGGTTGTATGTCTCTTCATGATGGGTAGAGATGGCCGATAGTACTGAAACACCAGCAAATAAATAAACACCTATATGTAAATATTAAAAATGTTTTCCAGGCAGAGCATCCTATTAGCTGGAGTGTGAACTTTCAGTCAGACAACCTGCAGCTACTCTGTAGCCCATTCAGCTGGGAAATGGTGGACTAAGGTGTTTGCAAAATTGATTGTTGCCTGCTGCTGGAAGCAATCATACCATTGGCATTCCCTTTCTGCTTGCGGTAAATGCCTTGTTCTGAATACCACATTGTCATATGCTGAATCCATGAGTTAGCTATTAAAAAGCCGGTACTAGGTGCAAGTTTGATCATTTGCTGATGCCGATAACAGGAGGGGAATATTCTCTCCTTCTCCTGCTAGTGCAATTTCCAGTAATAATAATTACTATTATTACAGCTCAGTGTCAGTACCGTGATTCAAAAGCTCACCAGGCTAAGAGCTAAAAGCTTTGCTGCAATGGTGAGTCGGAATGTTCCTATTTTTATGTATTTGGTACTTTCTGGTGAATGTGCTATTTACTTCAGTTTTGTTCTCCCTCCTGGCCGTGGTTCCTCAAACACTCGCAATCTAAGCTGTCCAGCGACAACAAATGTAAGACATACAAATTAATGCCCAGGACACTGGATGAAATGTCATGTTTTGGCCAGTACTCTGGTGCTATTAGACTAGTATTACCTAAAGGATAGGTATCTCAGTGGAAATACGAGAATTAAATATTTCTCCATACTGAAATACAACCAAGTTCATAGTTGAACACAGAAAACATTCCTCATCTTAATAAGAATATTATTGTTTGGTTGACATTTTCCTCAACCATTTCCAGTACGGAAATGTAGAAATGCCTCTAGAATCTTATGGCTCTGGGCAGTGTTCTTCTACTGCAAATTGACTGACTGTAGTCAAGGCATGAATTTTCTAAAAACGTCTATTGGCACTAATATTTTGAGAAAGGAAGCAGAGGAGCAGGATGTCCTTAAAATAGTTGACAACTCACTCATTTGCCTCAAGGTAATTGGTGACACATGGAAAAGAAATACAAGTCTGTGTTACTTTACAATGGTAGTAAAATTAGAAGTAAAACAACACTACTCAGACAAAGAATTTTTGTATTTTCTCCATATTTCCAGACAGAATAGGAACAGAAAGACAGAGCAATGACTGACAGAACAGGAAGGGTTTATCTTCCCTGCTTTTAGAGCATAAAACCAGGTGTGTAGTCACCAAGATTTCCTTTCTAGAATTCCAGGTTCTTCCTCACTGGAAGGGGCTACTCCTTTCACCTCCTGAAGATGTAGCAGAAATGGCCATAAAATTCAGTAATCACATTTCTTCATTTTCTAGATTGCGTGCTTTCAGAGACTAGTTTCCTGTCTTGATGTTCATGCCATGTGATGGGTTTACCTTGGCTAGCTGCTGGATACCCACCCAGCCCCTCTCTCCCTCACTGTCTGCAACAGGATGGGGGAAGAAAATGAGATAAAAAAAGCCTGTGGGTTGAGATAAAGACAAGGGGATCTCTTACAAATTAACAGCACAGGCAGAACAATATCAGTTCAAGCTGATTTGAACCTGAGCCATAGTTCTCACTGGCATATCACCACTGATATCTTTGGTCTGCCCAGACCTTCCTTTGTCTTGGGGAATGAACATTCATATCACAGAATCATAGAATCGTTTTGGTTGGAACAGACCTTTAAGATCATAAAGTCCAATTGTTAACCTAACACTGCCAGTCCAACCACTAAACCATGTCCCCAAGCACCACATCTTGTGTCTTTTAAACACCTCCAGGGACAGTGACTCCACCACTTCCCTGGTCAGCCTGTTCCAGTGACTGATAACCCTTTTGGTGAAGAAATTTTTTCTGATATCCAATCTAAACCTCCCCTAGTGCAACTTGGGGCCATTTCCTCTTGTCCTATCAGTTTATATCTCATCCTGATGAGGCATTGATCCAGTCTATCCCTGACTGACTGTAGCTTCCCACCAACACTACCTGTCCTAGTTCTGCAGCTTCTCTGATCTCAAGCAACATTTCCTGGTGCCCAGCACTGTCTCAATGTGGGGATTGGTAGTACAACTTTCCATTTATGTTTTTATTACTAGAGACTTGGGTTTTTTTCATACAAAGGGCTTCTGAGAGCTTAGAAGTGCTTGATGTCTAATCCTCTCTTTGTTAACCTTCAGGACTCCATGCACAGAAAGTTATTGAGCAAATTGGTGTGCTGTTGCACACCAAGGGACCCAGCCACCAAAACTGTTTAATAAGACCCTCGGGTAGCTGCTTGGAGTTCGATAATGACACAGTTCTCACAGGTCCAGCTCCACTAGCGGAAAACTATCTTTTGCCTATGTTCAGTACCCAGTACGTTACAGGAGTATTTATATGTTGTACTGGGATGGGATGACTTTAGGGAGAAGGAAGATGCGAGGAACACAGAGGTCAGTTCAGAAAGCAGTAGAAGTGTTGCCTCATTGGATCTTTCTGTCTAAATGATAGACAGAAAACAGGACATTGATACCATCACAGTAAAATTTGCCTGTAACCTGTCAGGGTAAGAAAAATCACTTGAAAACCTCCTGAAACAAGTTTCTGTGCAACAAGAAACTTAAACAACAGAAAGGATATGACAATTACAAGCTGGAGGAAGAAGAGTGGAACAATGCTGTGACCTGTAGGATGAATAACTTGAAACAGATTTGGAGTGAATGATTTAAAATGTTTTCAGATAACAAATGCTGTGGAGTTCAGACTTGAAAGTTCATGCTGTATCAACATTTAGTAACTGGGTACAGTAGTAACCTTTTTTTTCCTCTCCTTTGCTTATGTTCTTTGTATCAGCCATGGCATATTAAAGCACGTGTATGTGGTCGTGTTTGCTTATGTGAAAGGCAGAGAGAAATGCTTGGTAATCTGTTGAAAAACATGCAGGAAAAATTTAAATACTACTGTGACGTTTTGGTCACTTGGATCCTTCATTTAATATTGATTGCATCGTAGGCATCTAGCATGGGGCAGGTATCTGCTCTCCATTTATACTCAAGGACAGATGTACTTTCTTCTGTGGTATAAGTCATCTCACTGTAGTGTAATGATCTAAACAAGGTCAACTGAGTCATGCTTTTAAGATATTTATTCCTCTTCATGGATTGTACAGGGAGCCAGAGCTGTTATGCTCAAACTATGACACCTGTTCTGCAGGTCTCTGTCTAGTACAACGGCAGGGATCGCTATAGACAGTTCACCCTCTCTGCAGCTGGGCTAGCTCTGGAAGATCACCAAGCCCTTGGGAGAAGCAGAGAGGGAAAAGTAGGATCATTTCTAAAATAGTGCTGTGATTTGCAGACATATATTCTGAATTATGCATGAAACAAACCTGTTTGATGGAAAACAGTCTTCAAGAACTACCGGAAAGTAGTAGAGAATAGAGCAGGACCTGAGGAAAGTGCTCAGGTGTTAGCAAAAGGCAACAGAGGTGAATATGAAAAACAGACACTGCTTTCTTAGTAGTAATCTCCTCCTTACTGAGTTATAAACTCCTAGGCAGAAATGAGCAGCTAAAGAATTTCCTGGTGTGATTGTAAATGAAAACGAGCATTCCTCTGCTGGTCACATTTTAACTTCCACAAGATAGTGAGTGTATTTGTCTACCGAAGAACTTTAAAAATTAGTAGAGAAACTGTGCAGAGTGTTGCAGCTTCTGCTATGTTAGAAAACACAATTTCTTCAGGAGAGCATGTTCTGTGAACAGCAGGCCTAAGAGAGCACTCAAGCTACTAAACAGCTGCTAGCTCAATGGAGAGGAATACCAGTGAAGAACCTCCCAGACCTGGTTTCTGTGCATGTATTTCTAGTTTCAGAGTGGACAAGCTAAGTGGAGAGCCCTTTCATCAGTTCAGAGGAATGCAATTAGGAGTAGAACATGGAACAGCTCATGGTGGAGCCATATATCGTAGACATAGTGGTTGAGCATGGCAAGCGTTCGCTTTCCATCACGGCACTTTAAACTCCCAGTAGTTAAAAGGACAGTGTAGCATTTTTCCAGCATTTGTGGCATTTGTCCTGTGAAAGTAGAATGTGATTCCTCTCTGAGAGAATGGGAGCACACACTTTGTCACACCAACTAAAATGCAGAAAAATAGTGGTCAGAGTGAGTTCAGCAGTGAGGGTCAGTGTGGAGGGACCAGAAGTCTGAAAAGGGAGTGGGAAGGCAGGAGTACAGTGGTGAACAGTGCTCTTTGCAAACATTGCTCACCGTAAGTTATGATGTGACACTGTGCTTTCTGTAGCAGGCAGAAGAGCAGTAAATGCATCCTGCTTTCATCATCCATGAACCCTGGAGCTGTAGCACATCCCCTTCTCGTCCTGGTCAGCCCATGAC